ACGTGCGCAAGGCGGCCGACGACTGAGCCCCGCTCTGAGGGCTGTGTACAGAGTGCAGATGTTTATTTAAAATAAAGTTCTATTTATCCCTTGTGAGCATCGCTGTCCGCGGGGGCCCTCCCGTGGCCTCAGCCCCTGGGCGTGGGCACAGGCTGTGGCCCCAGGTCTTAGGAAGAAGGGGGCTAGAATCCACCCCAGAGCGTGGCTGCCCATGTTAACCAGTTGGACCTCTGGGCCAGCTCAGCCTTTCGTCACAGCTGTCCCTGTCCTTGCAGGTGGGGCCAGCAGTCCTGGTCTCCCTCCCTGAGGCAGTGGTCCAGCCTGGCTGCCACCTCCAGGCCAGGCAGACGGGAAGCTCCGCGGGCAGCCGTGGCTCTGGGACCTGCACCCTCGGGGCCTCCGGTTGCGCGGCAGCCTGGCCACAGCTGGGCCTGCCCTGGGGCGTGGCCACAGCTCACGGAGGAGCTCAGCCGTGAGACCACACAGTGCATGCCAGCCCTCGACGCAAGAGGACAAGCGGGTGTCGTGATGCTGGAGGGGAGACACCAGGACACAGAAGACAGGGCTCAGATAAGACGTCATGAGCTTTATTTACTTTTGAAATGGTTACAGCAGTCACAGACACGTCACAGCTGAGCCACGGCCATCAGCAGTCCAGGAACGCCCCGCCCCGGTGGCTGCAGCCAGTGCCCAGCGCAGCCCCCTCCGCCTCTGGCTCCTGGGACCCTTCAAGAGCTGTGGCCCGGTCACCAGCGGGCTCACCTCCCCGACCCACAACTAACGGAGTGGGAGGAGCCAGTCTTGTCAACCTGGCATCGTCCCGGCGGATCAACGGGCACAGGGACCCTCGGGCCCTATCACCCTCCCGTGTCTCCTCCTGCCACCCCCCACCTCCCACCCCCTCCTCTGGCTGACAATACATGTGCCCTGACTGCCCTGCACAGCCAGCATCCGGACACAGTCTGGCTCTTGCATTTTCTCTCCAAGACCTGCAGCTTGTAGGCGCTTGGAAGCTGGGGACGTGGGGACAAATGCCCCCACGGAAGATGCTGCTGCAGAAATGGGGCGATACCCTGCCCCCCTTTACATCAGAGCCCCCACCGTCCCAGCTCTGGGACAGGGCCGAGGGCAGGAGGCCATGTCACTACAAACAAGCAGGTTTAATCCTTTATTAGAAACCATGCAAACTTTAATACAAAAAATACAAGTGCAGTCAGAATCTTCGTGTCAGTGATTCCCAGGATTCTCTTCGCGGCCCGGCTGGGACCCCTCGCAGGCTGGCCTCGCCTCGCTCCCTCCTCGTCAGGCTACAGGGACGTGGGGTGGCCTCAGTCTCATGCCTTTATCTTTACATTTCTGGACCTAATTCCCCAAATACCCACACGGTTTTGGGCACCTCGGGCTCCCTGGGGGCTGGGGCTCGAGTGTCCTAGGCCTGCAGGGCCCTTCCCAGCACTGACCTGTCTCCCACCAGATCCCAGGAATGAGACCGACGTGCCCACACCAGCCTCTTGGTTAGAGAAGCAAAGCAGCATCCATGCCGAACGCCAGAGCCACCCGTCCACACTCACAGCCCCCCGGGCTCTCCCTGCTCACCCCACGCCCCTGCCCACACCGCCTCGGCCCCAGCTGCCAGGCCCCCGCCTGACCTCCTGGCTGGGGGGTCTCAGGATCTCCCCTCCGTTTCCTTTAAAAACACCTGCTGAAGACTTTCCTTTAGACGTGACTTCAACCTGCACAACTACTCCACCAGTTTTTAGGTTATTTTTTAAAAAAGGGATAAAACAAGGAAAAAAAGTATGACAGCAGCTAGAGAGGCCTGGGAGGCAGCGGGGACAGGCAGCCTGGCCCTCACTGAGGAGGGGTGGCAAGAGGGGTCGGCACCCCCTGCGGTGGCATCAGTGGGGGCAAAGGGAGAGGCAGTGGCTTAGCGAGCTCCAGGGGACACTCGGGGCTGGGCGTCCATCATGTGGACACCCCCTCTTCCCTCCAGGTGGACCCAGCAAGGAGGGAGGGTGTGTCCGTTTTTCTTGGGTTTGGTCCAAAAAACCCAAACAAAGAGGAGGTTGGAATCTGGTTCCTTCCTCAGATCCCATGTGAGCCTCCCCTACCCGCTTCTCCCAGCTTCCCCTTGGAGCAGTGATGCGAGGATGAGCAAGGAGCTGGCCTGAGGCAGGGGC